GGCATACGTCATTTAAAAATGGTCCCGTATCGGCCGCAATCAAATATAGCGGAACGGGTCAACAGAAATATAGTGAAAATTATCCGTAGTTATGTTAAAAATTTTCATAAAAGCTGGGATAACTATGTCAATGAATTTGCTTTCGCCCTTAGGACCGCAAAACATGATACAACGGGAAAAACTCCTGCTGAGTTATTTCTAGGCAGAAAGATTATAACACCGTTAGATAAACTATTTTATGTGCAACAAAGAGCCCCAGAATTTAAAATGGGTGATATAGAAAAACTAATAAAAGAAGCAAAAAAGAATACAGAAGTAGCACAAAGAAAACAAAAATTGTATTATGACTTGAAACGACGGGGAGTAACTTATAAAGTAGGGGATGAAGTACTAAAAATTAAGCATTCACTTTCTTCAGCACCAGAAGATAAAACTGCCAAATTTTTCCCACGCTTTGAAGGACCATATGTTATAGAAAAATAACTCACGCTGTTGTAGTATTAAAGGCAAGAAATGGTGAAACCTGTTCCGCAAACATTGACCAGATAAAACCATTCTATGACCGTAATAAAATGCAAATCTTTTCAGATCTTTTGCAGGATCCGGTACGGCAGACACCGCAGGTACAAGTTCCAGAGGTGGGAAAACGACAAGTACAAGGGCAAGCCAATGAGAGACAGAAGCAAGTGAAAAGAAATTGCCCCGCGGAAAAATTGAAGGTACAAAGAAAAAGAAGTCGTTCCACCGTCCAAAAAACAGAGTTCACGAACACCCCCAGAATGAAGAAGGGAGAAGGACGACGTATGTGGAAAAGACCGGGAGAAAGGACGGCAACTATAACCCGGCTGTGAAACGGAAGATTGACTCATCCGACAGAACTCTCCGCAGCAAAGTCGCCGAACTGCGGAAGGGCCATCAGCGGCGGAGGAAAAAGTACAAGAAAAATTTGAACGGCCAACAACGAGGTCCAAGCAGGATCACGACAGAAGTTTCCCGGTTCCACCAAGACCAGCTGCCTTCAAACGGCCAAGACCACAAGCAGAGGACAGAAGGAAGATGTTCAAGGGTGGCCGTAGTGGTGAAAAAACGGAAGCTTCCAGAGGAAAGCACTGAAGGGCGAGCCCGTACAAGAAGGAGGATCAACCAAGCTACGGTTTGCAGCACCTTTAAAGACTGGGCCCAGAAAAGGATGTCTGAATATTACAAAGATAAGTAAAATTTTGTGTTACTTTACAAACTTAAGTTAATCTTTCATTCTTACTGCAAGTGGCAGATTTGAAGAAGTTTTACCTCATGCGAGGTCTACCTTTATCGCCAAAAGGGCGAGAAATGAGTTGTGACCGATTTTTCTTATTATGTTTTTCAATTACTCGCGCGTAAAACTAAAGTTGATGTATAATAGCGTTGTATAAAGACTTAAATATTGTAAAAAGTTATTGTATAAATTTTATTTAAAACATTCTAACGAGAAAAGACGTTTTAGTCTGAAAGACTTTTTGAAATGTAGTATTATTTCAATGTAGAAAGAATTGGCACTTGCTTTGAAAAGAATAGAAGTTAACAATGTACTACTAATGTATGTTTTCAAATGTGTAAAATTAACGGCATCCTGATATGTTCTTGTATACATGTGAACTGTTATTTTGAATGTTTAGAAATACCGTGATATGGTAAAAGTGAAAGTAATGTTAAAAAATTTGTTATTCGTGTGACTGTAAAGATTAAATCATGCTGAATATGTGTTAAAGGTTGAATGATGTAGTTAGGCTCTCTGACGCTACACTTTAGAGTTAGCCACTTTCAGAATAGTACCTCAGGGTCTAGAGTTGAAATTAGGGTGTGTTAAGAGGTCTCGTATGTTGAATTTTAACACGTTAGTGTTTTGATTGTAGGAGGAAGTGTTGAACACATAGACAGAAACACATTCGTGTTTGGTGTTTTTTACAACACATGTCAGAGAGCACGGGGAGAGATAATTAAAATAGTCATGAATGAAATAAGAATGTTAAGAAAAGTATATTCTATATGTTATTTGCAATGTCATTCTGTAACATTTCATTAAACTAGTTTTCCTTCCAGATCTCTGGAAGGAACCAGAATTGAATAAAGCTCCTGTTTGATGCAGTACAGATGAAAAAGAAAAAAGATTGTTGTATATTCCGGGAGCTGCTATTGTAACAAATTTCTTTCTTTTAAAATTTTCTAGTTTCTAGCTAAGTTATGTTTGTAAAAGTTTGGCCTCGCGTTAGTTTTCTAGAGCTAAAAGTTTTCAACAAGGTCGTTTTAGACCTCAGTTTCAAACTAATTAACTCTGGCGGGAAGTATGTAAGGATCTTAAGTTTTACTAACGTTTATTTTATTTTAAATCTTTACTATCACTTCTTATTTTCTACTTCCGGCCAGAATTATAAGCGTGAAGGAGTTTATGCAAAGTTGTCTGGCGAACGCCAAGTATTTAAGTGTGGCCTTTTTGCCAAGCAGAAGAGAGGAAGCCGTGAGTTCGAAGCAGGCCGCTTACCTAGAAGTTACGCAGTTGCTACTTTGCCTTCCAGGCCAGAGGTTTTAATCCTCTTGATAAATTAAACGTATTGTAGTGTTCACAGTCTCTGTGCTACATACGCTTTCCTGTTATTATAAGGCCAATCTTATTCTAAGTTAAATTAGAGTTTAGTTTTATTTTGATATCTTTTAAGTTAGACCCCGAGTGGAGGGTCATTGTATTCCGAAGTACGGAAGTCATTGTATATAAAGAAAAAATAAAGGGTTTTGTATACCCTTCGTCTGTATCCTCCCACTTACTACAATTAGTGAACATAGCTTTAGTAAGCTCTCTGTTCTAGTCAGGTCATTGTATGTTTCCGAAGAAATTTAGAAGAAACATTGAACCTGATAAACTCTAGTATACTTTCATGTTGCAGAAGGAAAAAAAAGGAAATGTTTTTCTCTTTGTCTTTTGTAAAGTACAGTGTTTCATTAATGATGCTGATATGCACATAGCATGCAGATTAAAAATTAGAGAAGACACGGCAGCATGCAGTTAATTTTGCTTTAAATTTCTGATTCTGAATAAAATCAATGATTTATTTCAAAGTTGTGCATTTAAAGTAATTAATAAGGATTTTGCTATTCACTCGAGTTAAAAATTATAATTCCTTTTTTTGCTATTTCAAATTTATAGACATGTGCCACGTGCATCATTTTGCCCTAAGATGATGCCCTTGCTTTCACCATTGCTGGATCGTCCTCCATCCTTTCCAAAACTTGAAAAATATATAGATGCATTTATTGAGATTTGGATTATTTTCTAATGTGTTTTAAAAATTAAACAACAAAAAGTTTTGAAAATATCTTTAAATACCCAAACTTGAATAATAATAGTTTTCTGTATTCGTAAAATAAAACTAAATACTTAACAGCTAAATAAAAGACTGACTGCATTTCTCCCCCGAAACTATGAAATCCCCTCCTGATCGAGAACTTCTGCTGTAGGGGTAGCCAAATAAGTGATGTTTAATATAATAGGAGCATTTTCACCTCAGTGCTGAGTTTTTATGCTGTACAATAAGTCCAAGGATAATAATATTTTTTAAATAATTCTATCCACAGTGATAAATATCTTTAAATACCCAAAACTTGAATTATAGTAGTTTTCTGTATTCATAAACTAAAACTAAATACTTAACAGACTGACTGCATTTCTCCCCCTAAACTATGAAATCCCCTCCTGATCGAGAACTTCTGCTGTAGAGGTAGCCAAATAAGTGATGTTTAATATAGTAGGAGCATTTTCACCTCAGTGCTGAGTTTTTATGCTGCACAGTAAGTCCAAAGATAATAATATTTTTTAAATAATTCTGTCCACAGTGAAGTTTATGCCCAAATATTGGGTCAGTCCATAAATTCGTGCGCATTTTTGGTGAATTTTTAAATAATATAAAAAAAACACAACTTGACATTTTAATCAATTATATATTTTCCTCCATTATCTATAATGTCTCGCCATCGTACAGGCAGCTTTTTTTATGCTATTGCTGTAGAAAGACTCTGGTTTTGATGCAAAAAACATGAAAGTTCATTGTGTACATCCTGTTTTGAATTTATTTTTTTTCCCAGTAAAAAATTTTGTAAGGCATGAAATAAGTGAAAATCACTTGAGGCAATATCTGGGGAGTAAGCAGGATGTGGCAAAAGCTCCCAATTAAATTCACTAATTTTTTGCAGCGTTGTTCGAGCCGTATGCAGTCTAGCGTTATCATGATGAAACAGCACTCTCTTGATATTCACCAATCGTGGGCGTTTTTTGATTAATTCTGAGTTTAGATGGCAAAGTTGTTCACTATAAATGTCTGAATTAATCGTTTGATTTGATTCTAACAGTTCAAAACGTCCTGAACGGGGTTCATCATCAATGTTACTTTTTCCAACTTAAAATTTTTTAAACCATTTCTGGGCAGTCCTTACACTAATAGTGTGTTCACCATTTTCACTATTAATTTTTATCGCTGCAAACCTGGTAGATTCACCACATGAAAATAAAAAATGTAGCACAGCACTTTTGTACTGATTATCTATCTTCATCTTCTATGGGTACTAAAATGTGTTCGATCTTTACAAAAGTTGGTGATGAACTGAATAATATGTTAGTCAAATGATGACAAGTTTCAACAGGTTCAAAATTGTATTGTTTTAATAAATGCGTCATAGTAAATTCCATGCATACTTTTAATGCGCACGAACTTATGGACTGACCTGATATATATGTATTTCTGGGTAGAGGTGTTGTGGAAAAAGTTGTCTTAAAAATTACTGCAAAAAGTAAAATGTACAAATTGATAGAAATGTACAAGTTGGTAGAAATTGATAGAAATGTACAAGTTGATAGAAATTGATAGAAATGTATAAATGGACTGTAAATTTAACTGAAAATTATGTTATGGATTTTGTATTTTTAATATCAAGGTTTTATTTTCAATTTTTTAAATATTTTTTTCCTCATTTAGCTGCTGGTATGAAATATTTGAGAGATAACAGTATTATACACAGAGATTTAAAACCCGGAAATATTATGAAATTTATCTCTGAGGATGGAAGGTAATTTTTTTTTGGATGAATCAGTACTTACCCTTATAGAGGCTTTTTAATTTGGGACTTAATTAATGGAGATTCACTATTGAAATGAATTTTTAATGGCATAGTATTCTAAATTTTTACAATACAGTAATTTTAGTCTAGCATACTAATTTAAATTAATTTTTAAAATTGAATTTTCAAAATTAATTGATTAAAAAAATAAACCTTAGTATGTGAAATTCAATACATATTCTTCTACCTGAAATGCTTTTATTATTTACGATTTGTGGTAGTTGCAAAATTAAATTATGTATGTGTATGGTAATTTTTTTTTCAGAATTTTGAATCAGATATTTATTTATATAATTTCCATTCTGTAAAAAGATCTTGATGCATTTAAGAGTTTTTTTAATTTTTTAATTTGAGCTAAAATTATTAATTAAGCTGAGCGTGCAAGCAAAAAAAAAAAAAAAAAAAAAAAAAAAAAAAATCTAAGAATATCTAAATGTAATATGAAGATTTCTTTAAATCATCTTGTAAAATCTTAAAAATAATTCTGTATAATTTATCTTTATTAATCGTATAATACTTTAGCCTAGAATTCTATTATCTGTAGATCAATTTACAAGTTAACTGATTTTGGTGCTGCTAGAGAACTTGATGATGATCAGCAGTTTATGTCTTTATATGGCACTGAAGAATATTTGGTAAGAAATGTAGTATTGTTGCAGATATTAATATTTTAATGTTACAAATATGTTTTAGAACTTTTTTGTTTCCTTCTCACAGTGACTGAGGAAACCATTGAACCCTTTTGCTGGATATTATTTTCAGAACAAGTGTGAAATTTTAAGTATTGTTTATGGAATTTTAATTATTTCAGTATGCTTAATTTATGCAGTTTAATAATTTTTTTTTTGGTCTGGTGTACATTATAGTGTATACCTTGAAACTGATCTAAACTCGTTCATCATCAAAAAGTATTAAGGCCGACCAGTGGTCTTGCAGTTAAAAAAAAGAGAGAGAGTACTGGTAATTCAGTCTGGGTTCAAATCACAGTGAATGGACATGCTGCATGGAAATTTTCATGCTTTTCACCATTTGTAATATGGATATCAGCCAGTTTTCCTCAGAAATTCCTTTCCTTAGCATATAACCCATGCATGCATTGATGCAATCTAATCCAAAGTAGATGTTATGAAGAATGTTATGAAGAAATGTTTATAGCTGTTTTTAAAAAACTTACTTTTATCTGTTTTTTTCATAAACAGAATTTAGTATATTAATGCATTTAAAAATATTTTTCTTTTTGGATTAAAAATAAAATCTTATCTTGTGCATAATGTTATATTTCCATAAAATCTTGTCTTGTGCATAATGTTCCCATATATAAATCTATGTAGCTGTTTTTCTGTTTCCCCCTTTTGTAAAGTTCTTAAACTATTGATTGACTTGTTGAGTATCAGAAATTTTTTGTGTGAGAAGATACTGTTAAATGGAAAAAAAAAAAAAAAAAAAAAAAAGAGAAATAGGCATCCAATAGCAAAATACCAATTTTATTTTGTAATCACACTTAAAAAAAAAAAAAAAAAAAAAAAAAAAAAAAAAAAAAAAAAATATTATACATCTTTTTCTTGCATAGAATAATCATTATTTGGTGTTTGTTACTTTAACTTTGAAAACAACTGTAAGAAAAAAAATTGCAGAAGTTTTGTTTAAATAAAATATTTTGAATTCTTGAATTTGTATATTGGTGCCCAGTGCAGTATTAACATGACAGGCAGAATTATTATGCTCATATCGCAGATAATTCTGTTCGGGTTCATTTTTTAGCTTAGTACTGTTGGGATTTGAACTGGCAGAGAGAATGAAATACAGTCAAAAGTCGTTAATTCGGACACCCATAATCTGGAATGATCTATAATCCGGACCTCAAAGCTAAAAACTTTCTGCACATGCGCCACGTTGACACATGTGCATAGGCGTTTACGCGTACGCGTAAGACCTTTTATGTCTGTGCATATGCGTGTGCGCAAGCGCAGAATACGTTTTCACGTGCACGTTTTATGTATAACGGACGGTATAAGCTAAAATTATCTAATTATCTATTTCAGTTATTGTTGATGATTGCGTTGTTCCTTAATTTTCGAATTGGATCTGGCTTATTATTTTTTGCAGACTGTAAGAGCAATACTATAAAAGTTAACTTGAACTTTCGATTATGTCAATAGAATTTCCGATCTGGAGCTCCCAAAGGATCGTACAAAGCGAAAGTATGTTTCGATGTCCATCAAACAAAAAGTGGATTTGCTGCAAAAAATGGATAAAGACATGATGAATGTGACAGAAAGGTTAGTGAAAACGAAAAAATTTCGATTGACAAGTTAGTCGGTATTCTCGGCACAGCAATTAACGGGACTTGAACAGCGGAACTTTGTAACTGAACAAGAAATTATGTCTGTTTATAGAATTAAAGAGAAAGTATTATCGCTTAAAACGAAGCAACTTAAACAACTTACATTGAAAGAAATGTTTAACAAAGTAAACAAATAAATATTAAGCTTTTTTTTTTTGGTAAATTTTGATACCCTTTAGATCATAATTGTTCTTTATTTCATAAATTACGGTTTCATATTTTTAATTTTAGAATTTCTGCAAGCCATCTTATGAGATTTAAACTGATGATCTATAATCCGGAAAAATCGATAATCCAGAATTGCCAAAGTCCCAACGAGTCCGGATTAACGACTTTTGACTGTAGTTAATTTTAGCTTGATTGAAAATGCATTTTGATGGTTCAAAAGAAAACTAAAAGCCTTTCTTGATGTCATGTTAAGTAAGATAAAAATGACAATCAAAATGCATTTTGATGGTTCAAAAGAAAACTAAAAGCCTTTCTTGATGTCATGTTAAGTAAGATAAAAATGAAATTTTCTTCTGACAGGTATCAGAATTAGGGCATATTTAAGGATAATAAGGAAGTATTTGTAATCTTTAATTATATTTATATAGAGTGATCAATGTCATATAAGTAGTTACAACAAGTAGTAACATAAAAATGGAAGTTCAGAGCTATTACATAAATAATGTTATGTATTAGTTAGTTTTCCCATGTGATAAAGTGCTATAACTTCTAAGATAGAAAGTTTCTTTAAATAATGTTAGAATCCAATTTTAGTTTCATTTGCAAAATCTCAACTGTTAGATGTTGTTTAAATTTATATTTTGTTACTCATTATGATTATATCATTATATGATTTTCCTTTATACGTAGCGTATTCGGAAACATAAGTACCGTTTCATTCTAGCGCCGTCGCAGCGCTGTGATAGGCGTCCCACGCATTCACACTAGTCTTTCTTGTTCACTGACTTTCAATTGTCGCCATTTTGGGTGCTCTATGTTGTGTTTTCAGTTTGCTGTGCACATTCAAAATGTTTAAGACAATTAGTTCTCCCGCTGACTGTAAGATTCGTGCCGTGATTAAATTTTGAACGCGAGGAATGTTAAAAAAACCGGCCGAAATTTATCGTCAAGTGACAGAAGTTTACGGTGAATGCGTGATAATGTGGAATGGTGAGAAAGTGGGTAAGAATGTTTAATGCAGGTCGAACAAATGTCCACACCGAGGCTCGGAGTGGTCGGCCTTCTGTTGTCACTGATGATTTGGTAAGGAAAGTTGATGAAGCAATTCATGAGAACAGATGCTTCACAATGACAACTCTTTCAGAGGCATTTCCACAAATTTCACGTACTGTTTTGTTCGAAATTGTGTCTGACTGCTTGAATTATCGCAAACTGTGTTCCCGATGGGTTCCAAAAATGCTCACTGATGTTCACAAAACAAAGCGACTTGGTAGTGCCCTGACATTTCTCACGCGGTACAGTGATGAGGGAGAAAACTTTTAAAACCAAATTGTGACAAGTGATGAAACTCTTGGGTGTGTCATTTCACACCAGAATCGAAAACAACAATCGATGGAGTGGAGACACACTCATTCTCCAAAAAAAACAAAAGTTCAAAGTGACAGTGTCATCACAAAAAGTCATGTGCACTGTCTTCTGGGATAGGAAAGGCGTTTTGCTTACTGAATTTCTTCCCAGAGGTGAAACCATTAATGCAGAGCATGATATTGTGAGACTTTAACAAAACTAAGGCGTGCCATTCAAAACAAACAAAGAGGAATGCTCAGTAAAGGAATTGTGTTGCTCCATGACAATGCTCGGCCCCATACTGCTGGTGTCACTCAATCGTTAATTCGACAGTTTCATTGGGAGCAGTTCGATCACCCACCGTACAGCCCGGACTTGGCACCGTCCGACTATCACTTGTTCCTGCACATGAAGCGCGAGCTTGGTGGCAAGCGCTTTGGATCTGACAATGACACGAAAAATGCTGTGGAGTCGTGGTTATCGAAACTGGCGGGAAGTTTCTTTGGCGATGGTATACAAAAACTGGTCACCCACTATGATAAGTGTTTGATCATTGGTGGAGACTATGTTGAAAAATAGTTTAAGACATGTATTTTCATGTAAAAATAAAATTGGATTCGAAAAAATTGTTTTACTATTTTTTTTTTTTCAAAACGGTACTTAGTTTCCGAATACGCCTCGTATATTTTCCTTCATTATGATTATGTGACTTTCTCTATGTGTTTTGCATTTTTCTTTATTTTTGTTTAATGTTTGGTGTTGTTAAGAGTAATATACAGTAGAAAACTTGGGAAGACTCAGATAATCGGCAATTTGTGCAGTTTTTTCTGCCACCATCTTGAATCGGCAAAAATCGCCATATCTTTGGAAGGATTTTTTTGACGTCAAAAGACACTTTTCAAAATTTTCCTCTTGAGCCGGATATAGGGAAGAAACCCGTGTTAGGCGAAAATCACCTGAGGCTAAATACAGTAACGCGTTTGTGTTAAAAAAGGTAAACAATGCACATAGAACTAATTTAGTTATTGATGTGGTTAAGTTAATCTCCATACTTTTTTCACATTAGTATTTTAGATTATGATATATATAACTCCAACATTATTACCGTTTTTACTTCTGTTTTACTTCTCTTTTTAATTCTGACCATTATTTCTACATTTATATCCATAATAGTTAAATAGTTTGAAAATATGGTCTTCATATAAATGCAGTAAAGATCATGCAAATGGAATATTTATCACGCAAGTAACGTTAAAAAATTTAAAAGATCAAATATCCATGAATGTACTATTTTTAAAAAAATAAATTTTTCATTTTACACATTACATTTTATGTTGATGAACTAAACTGATCGTTATAGATTTATTTTTACTCTATATTAAAATAACCTTATGTCAGCATTTTATATAAAATTATCCATTCACATTATATTACAAATAAAATATTAGATAAATCAAAATATTAAATTCAATGTATTATTTTTAAATTAAAAATTTATGTTAAATTTAAGCTAAAAATATACCAAACTAAAACATTAACATACAAGAATAAAGGTTTAGTAGTAGACAGAAGAAAATGCAGAAATAAATATTAATAACTTCTTAAATATGAAGAAATTACAAATATTCCTAAGTTACAGAAATAAAAATTTTAATATAAATGAAAAATAGAATTTCAAATATGCAAATATCAATAGATAGAAATAGATAAAAATTTAATTGAAAAAATACTTGCTTTGGCAGGTGATTCGTTTTGAAGTGTTATACACAGAGCACTGAACCAAAATAATGTAGGTTCAGAGTTCAGAGGTCAAAGTTCATGGGCCAAAGTTCAAAATTTGTTTGATCAAAATTACTAACATAAACAGTAAAAATGTATATAAATGTATTTTATATTTTTATTTGTTAACATAATTTTGCATCAATAAGTAACAGATATTTTTTCGATAATAAAAATTTTTGCAAAAATTAAATTTGATAGATGACTGTGCAATAAAAGTGTTAATTTTTTAATATGTGTGTCTTTAATGTTGTTTATAAATCAACTGAATGAAAAGGTAGGTATCTGAATTTTGTAACTAAATCGGCAATCAATTGGATTTCACAAAGCAAATAGTACAGTGCAGCTTAACCATAACCGTTCATTGAAATAACCATGACTTAGAAAAACATAGCAGGTGCAAAATAAGACATCTGTCTCTTAAAAAAAAAAATTTTTTTTCAATATAAATTTGATTAGGAGAGATTAAAAAATTGCTTGTATGATACAGAGTGTCTGTCAGCGAGATAGCGGTAAAACTGTTGCACACTGGTAGTTCGTCTTAGAGTTCGACTAACGGATTTCCGCCATCTTAAGCAAATAACCCGCGAGTGCTTTTCTTATTTTAATAATTCATGTTATTTAGTAATTAATTTCTGTTTGTTAAGGCTAGATAAATAACACCCATATACTTAAATATTAAGTAAATAATTAAATAAAATGTGCCCATGCGAACGATAAGTTAGAGAAAGACCATATATCTACTTTGTTGTAATTATAAGGGTACTTAATTTATAAGGTCATTAGGTATTAGAAATAATTTATAAAATAACTGTAATTAAACAGCAACTGGGAAGCCCAGTATTACTTATTAATATTATTAAATAAGATGAAATTAATTGTAATAATTAATTAATTAAATTTTTAAATCATTTAATAGTAATTTTATTTTCTAAAATTTTTTTAGTATAGCGAAAATAGCAAATGGTTTACGGAAACTTGCGGCTCTGGTAATTAAATAATTATGATTTTAATAGTGTTTAGACATCTAATAGATTTTAATAGTCTAATAAATATTAATATTTTGTTCTAATAAAATAATGAAATAGCGAATGATCGTACGGAACAACAAACAGCATATGAGTGTATGGACCACGTCTGCTAACAAAGTCATGTGATCAGCACGACGATTCATCTGCAAAGTCACATGACAGCCAAAGCAGAGTATTTACATATAGAAAGAAAATATCCTTTCCCTTTCTCCCTAGCGTAGTGAAGGTCTAAACTAGCAATTTAAACTGTCCTCCCACTGTATGGCATGTATCGCCCAAGTTGCCGAACACGATTTAAGGAAGTTCGCCAAGTGCCGGTTATCTGAGTATCCCCGAAAACATGGTTGCCTATCAAAGAAATTACCTATGGAAATTTTCTGAAACTCAAACTACAAATTAATTCCAATCACTCTGTAATCAGAATTTTGCTGCTATTGTCCTATTTTTTTATCAAAGGCAACATCATAAAGGAAAAAAAGCAAAGCAAAAACATCATCATACAAAACATCGTGGAAGGAAAAAATTCAAGTAGAAACCATTCTGATCGCAAAAACATCGCCATTAAAACTACTGTGGTAAAAAATAAAGCACTTATAAATCATTGCACAATGATATAATGATGTAGACATGTGATTTTCAGGTTAGTGGTAAAATATATATTGGCATAATAATTTGCGAGCACAAGAAATAGTGAGGAATATTTTTACCTCTAATATTTCATATTTTTGAATTAATAATTTTTCTTAAAAAAAGAAAAAAAGAAACTTAAACATTCAATTGAAAAGGTGTAGAAAATTAACCTTTCTTATAGCAATTAATAGAATGATAAATTAGGTAAGTAAGTATTAAAAGTCATTAATTAATCTGTTTTATGAAGTTGTATTGGCAGTTTTCCATGATTATCTAAAAATATTAGGAAAGAGAATATAAGTAAACTGCATGAGATTATCTATATTAAAATTGTTGACTTAATTATTAAAATATCAAATTATTTTCTTTCACTTTGTTAATCTGATATTCTTTTAATAAAAATTAAGTCTTATTTTCCTTTAATTAAGTTAAAAATTTTAATATAGATAACCTAATATAATATAGCCTAACTAATATAACCTAATATATTATAGGTTAATATGGGTCTGGCAGTATTATCTTCATGGGATGGTTTGTAGGTGCTTTAGTTTTTACCATGATATTTTTTATGATGTTGTTTAAAAACTGTGGTGTTTTTCAATTATTTTATTTTTGACGACGATGTTTTATATCATGATGCTTTAGAACTGTGATGTTTGCGTACTGTTCTCCCAAGATGTTTTGTATGACAATGTTTTCATCTTGAGTTGTTTTCGCCGCGACATTTCTGTCTGTAGTGTTTCTGCTGCCATAGACATCATAAATTTGAAAATAAAATTTTAACTTAATAATTAAATTATCTTTTAAAAATTTAGTATTTATTGCTAATTAAATCAAATAAAAAATTTACTTCGGTCTTTGCAAAGTAACTTTTAAAGAAATGCAGAAAAATAAAATAGATTTTACAAGTTTCTACTTTCGTATTGATTGTAAGAGTCCGTGTTCATTATTTTTGTATACATACATATATATATATATATGGACACAATTTTATTATTATTTATATGCTATTTAAGTGACATATTATGCAGTTTTTTATGTGATTAAAGGTAATGGATCGAGAAATTTTCTTATCTATTTGTTATATAATAATTCTTTTTCAAAGATTGAAATTATTTTCTTTCTGAATTAAAGCATCCTGACATGTATGAAAGAGCAGTTCTTCGCCATCCTGCCAACAAACCGTTTCGAGCTACAGTTGATCTCTGGAGTATTGGTGTTACTTTGTACCATGTTGCTACTGGATCTCTTCCATTTAGACCTTTTGGTGGGAGAAAAAATAAGGAAACTATGTAAACATGATTTTTTCCCTTCTATTAAATGTATTTATTGTTTATTACTTTTATTTGTCTGAAATAAGATAACATGGAATTAGTCCTTTCATAAATTTTTAGCTTAAAGCTGTTTTTAAAATTTTATAGTGCTAGAGATTAAAATAATCTTGTTTAGCTTATGAAGTAATTTTAAAGAAATTTCTTTCTTTTTTTCCCCTAATTTGTGAATTTTAAAGAAGTTTTTATGTTTCATTTATTGTTTGGTTATGGAACCATTTCATATAAATTGTTAATGATAATGCAGTAAAGGGAATAGTCTTTTGAGAAAATTTATGTGTGAAATAGTGATATAGAGCTATATAAAACATTGTGTGACCTTAAGTATTTATACTAAGCTATATTTAAAAAGATTACATGGGGGGAAAGTATAGGAAAATAAGAATAATACTGAAATATATTTTATAATAGTTAATTGGTAATTGTTGTACACAGTTATATCAGAGCAGATTTCAGAAATATGCTTAGAGTAATATATGAAGTGTCATGTATTGAAAATGGATTATAAAATTTTTAATATACAAAATAGTGCAAGAAATTTAATGTTAAAATTTTTAGTGAGATGTATATGGCTATCCAGTGTGCAGGATGTGTTCAGTGAATTTGTTTTGTGATAAATTTACAACTCAAATTCTGTTTTAATCCTGAGCAAAAATCACATTGTGAATTGAATTGATTTGACTAGTTTTTTTTAGATATTTTTTCAAATATCCACACAAATTTGAAAGGGGTTAATATTAGGGCTAGGTACAGCACAAGTTCTGTCTTGCATTCTCTTTGAAAATGTTGTAATTTGTTGCACTTTATACTTTTCATTATTTAATTATAATTTTTTATTTGACTTTGTTGTTTTTAGAAGTTGAAGTAATATACTGATTTATTGCTGTTACATACTGTTGCATGACTTTATTTTCCAATTTTAGTATTAAATTATCAATATTTGTAATTTATTTACTTTTGTGAAGACTGGAATGCTGTGCACCATATGAAAGCTTTGCTTTTTCATTTAAAAACTTTTTTACTTGCTAGAAATTTAAAATTTTGAATTATTATTATTTTTGGTTTCAGGCATTTTATTATAACTAATAAGGCATCAGGTGTCATATCTGGGGTTCAGCACAGTGAGAGAGGACCTATTGAATGGAGTAAAGAACTTCCCAAAACATGTCTTTTGAATCAGTAAGAAACTTTTTTTATATTTATGTTACATTAAAGCAGAAAAGTAAATATTAGTAGATTGGTTTTTTAAGTTCTAAGTTAGTAGTATTCCAGTTATTAAGTTTAACTTAATATTGAATAACTTGTAGCTTTAATACAAAAAATAGTGAGTTTTAAAGTTAATAAAGTGTCAAGAAATATTTTAAACTGCTATGTAGCAGTATTTTTTAATCTGAATTGCATAAATAATTACATAATTTTTAAATTGTGTTTCGAGTGTACAGGTTCCAATTTGTAATTGTGTATTTTATATTTGGATCAAGCTTTTTTATGTTTGCATTTGTTATGTATTTTGATTGTTAAGTTAAACAGATTTGTAGTTTGGGGCTGATTTTCATGAATATATTAAAAATGGAAATTATGACTTAAATGAAAAGATTAAAGTTAGACTAATCTCAAGAAACATAAATGTATTTTTAAATTAATGTAGAGTTTGAAAGTTTTCAATATTTTAATTGTAAAATGTTTCTAAGAAGGAAAAGTAGCAAGGGGGAATTTGGACAGAATTTTTATTTCAAAATTTCTTTAAACTGTCAATAATAAGATTTTAAAAAGTATTTAATTTCTGCTTTGAAATCAAGTTCATATTTTCTTGTAATATAACTGTTTAATGCTCATTTTCTGTCACAAAATTTAAAAAATTATAAATTGTGTGTGTTAGCTACTATCAGTTTATAGTGGTATATTAATTTGGATATATCTGATCTGAAGTAAAATGTGGCATGGACCTAAAAAACTAAAAGAATGAGTGCGTGCAAGTAACAAATTCATGAGGAGTCTTGTAAAGCAATAGGCTTATTGGTGTGATATTTTAAGGAAGAAGGCCATACAAGTTTTAAATGGGTATTTTGTGATGACAAATTCATTCCATTGCTGTATCTTAGTAAGGTGGAAAAAGTCATGTTCAATTAAGAATGTTAAAATATATTATGAAAAGAAAAAAAAAATCATTATGGTGTACAGAGACAATAAGTGTCATGACCAGTCCGAAAATCCTAATTTATTTGATCCATTTCTTAAATTGGAACTGTGGGCCTGTAAGAATTCAAGAAATATTTAGTTGCAGCTTTTTTAAAACACTCAAAACATTGATTCAAACAAGAATACCTAAATGGATTTTTCCACTGTGAAATGATGATTTCAGATCAGTAATTCTTTGTAGATAAAATTTTCCCTAATTAAATTTAAAGAACATTATTTGTTTGTTGAACTTAGTGTAATTAGCTTGTCATATTTCAGAGTTTAAATTTTAATCCTATATGTTATTGTATCTTATGTCTTTTTAATTTTTTTTTAATAGGGGATTGAGAGAATTAGTAACAGTTCTTCTTGCAGGAATACTAGAATGCAATAATGAGAAGATGTGGACATTTGAACAGTTTTTTGAATGTGCCACTGATGTTGTAACAAGAAAGGTTTTTCATGTCTTCTATATGAATGATGGGAAAGAAATTAGCTTGTATATGCAACCTAACAAAATGTAATTCAGTATGCACTGTTTAGTCTTTTGACTTTTTCTCAATATTTTACTATAATTTTTGTTTTCTCAAGATTTCTTCTTGTTATGTTTTATTCCTTTAAAAAGATGATGCATCTTAGTTTTTTTTCTATATGAACTGTAATGATATACACTAATGTTTGCAAAAAATGCAACACCATGAAGGAATTATCTGAAATGAATGAAATTTATATCACATATTACTGATAGTGGTACAAATAAATAATCAAATTTATAAGATGAACAAAAGGAACATCGGAAATTGGTACTTTGTGTGTCCGCTACACTGAGCGATGAGGGCCTGTACATGTCTTGGCATTGAATCATTCAAGGTTCTGAATGTAATCCTGGGAAATGGCATTCCATATGACTTTGACATGTCACCAAAGTTCAGTCTTAGTGTGTGCCTCATCAGCTATACGAGCTAGTCACCGACTGATTCCAGACATGCTCAATCCAGGGAATAAGCAGGTTATGGAAGAAGCAAAACCTGTTGTGCCCTAAAGAAGGCTTGTGTAGTATGAGAAATATGTGCACGGTCATTATCCTGCTGAAATACAGCACCCGGATTGTGTTGAAGAATGGGAAGAACCTCTGGCTCCACAACTTTCCTTATGTAGCTATCATTGTTGAGGTTGCCCGCAATCTGTATTAGATGGGATCAACAATTATACATATTAGCTCCCCCACACTGTGATGCAAGGCATTTATACGGTATGATGCTGGATAACATATTGTGGGAGCAGACATTCCCCTCTGTAACGTCTGACGTATACTCTTCCATTACTGTACTCCAGATTGTAGCAAACTTCATTAGAGAAAACAACTTGTTGCCACAGGGCACGCCATGCCCATTGAAGGAGGCATCTGTGATTTAGTGACAGGAGAATCCTGCACAGAGGAACATTTGTATGCAGTTCGTGTTGGAAGATGGCAATAAACCATGGAGCTAGACAACACCTGTAGCCATGCTCCAACATAGATCCTGTCATGTATCATTATCAGTAGTGGCCACCTGCCTAACCAAACAAGTTGGTTTCATGGTCATAACAGGCCATGCCCACTTCAACAAAGGAAAAAATTGAAACATAAAATAACAAAATGTAAATAATCATGTGTTACTAATAATTATAAACATAAAAGTGAAGAAAAAGAACAAATACAAACATTTAGACAAAAACAAACACCAAAGACCCCCCTCCCCCCGAAAAAAAAACGTGAACAACAAACACAAACAATGGTAACAACAAATTAGTAAAATATACCAAATAGTGATGACAATAAAAAGCAAAAATCATACATTGATTCCCACTGCCAGGCACTCTCACCATTAAATAATTTTCATCACAGATTTACATAATTGTGGGAAATCTTTATAGCATAAAAAGGGATTTTTAGAATAATTTTTTTATTGTTTCTTAAGCTATTAAAGTAGGGACAGACCTTGAGGAAGTGCTTAGCATCACCAAACAGTCCCGAAGTGTCCCGGGAAATGCCCATGTACGGTCAGAAACTGGTTAACATGTTGAGCGCGGCGCTGGCCCCTGGGGACCGGCAGTGAACTTTCCATATGGCCGGCATCGGTCCCTGGGGATCAGCAGTGAACTTTCCGTGTGGCCGGCAACGGTCCCTGGGGGACCGGCACTAGAATTTTCGTTTGGCTGCTGTTGGTCCGCGGGACCGACAGTATTAAAGTTAAAAAATAAATATGGTCTCAATGAAATGTGATCAAATTTAGTTTTAATGAAATGTATTGAAACATTCTAAATAAAAATATGGCTTAGCTCGCAGCCGGCTGAACGGAAAGGACAGCAAATTCGGCACTACGCTCAACGTGTTAACTTCAAAATCTTTGAAGAAAATATTCTTTTTCTTAGTCAGCTCTAAGTGTTTCAAATAATGTCTTTTAATATCAGAAGTATTCCATTGTAACTGCCATTGCTTAAAATAGTATGAATAAATAACTTTGGTTGCTTTTTTTTTTAACCCTGAACATAGGGCATCCCCGAAACACTCCCTAAGGCAGCCTCTTTTGCGACCACATCCGCTCTCTCATTACTGAATATTCCGATATGGACTTTAACCCAGCCAAACTGGATAAAGGACAAGGATATTTTTTTGTTAAAGATCTTTAATACCGATAATCAGACCGTTATTATTTTCTGCATTATAAAGTGCATTTAAGCAAGACATGCAATCTGTAAAAATATAAAAGTTAGAATTTCTTGCGAAATTACTTTTCAATATTCATTGAAGGGCATAGAGAACGGCCGATGAGCTTGGCTTGATAAACAGAGTTATATTTTTCAAAGCCCAATTTATAGTGGTAGATCTCAGTATAAAAAAAATATGCAACAAGAGCCAAGCCCACCCCGCCCTCATAACCTGGTCCATCAGTAAAATTTGGGTATTCCATTAAACACAGATCATAAATATTATAATTGATAGAAATAGGGTTTGTCTGAGAGATCAGATGTAAATTAAAGACAGAAAGTGAATCAGCAAAAACTCATAGTTAATTAATTTCATCATAGTTAAATAAGTTCAAAATATTGTTTCTTAATATCATAATAAAACTTGTAGATAATCGAGAGAGGCAGAGTGCCCGCCAGGACGCAAAGCATCTCACTCGAGACTGTATGGAGACAACGGATGAGCATCAGAAGCCAGCTCCGCTGAATGGTATTGAGTTTCATATGTAAATGTTGTAACTCTCCCTCTCTGCAACCTGTCATGTGCTAACACAGCACATGAATCCCATGATAGATCCTGTCATGTGCTAACACACGAGAGGATGTTGTATGATCTGTTACAGCCATGCAGATGAGATATTTGTTATCCCATGCCGTTGTGCAAGTGCATGCCTCATTGCCAGGATTTTACCTTGTTTGATTCTCCTCTGTCCATTTCTTCCAGACAATATCATTGTTGTAGTAGTACGCTGTGTGGGGTCTGCGATTGCTCGATATGAAAGTCCATCCTCTTTCATACCAGTGATGCAGCCTTAAAACTATGCATACCAATGATGCAGCTGATTCAAACTCCGTTAGTTGTTGGTATGGCATCTTCCGCTGTTGACGAGGCACATTGACCACTAATTAAACTTTCACTTCAGACAAAGGTTAATAAACAGATTTCAACGCAACTTTACAGTCCTTTATAAACATGTAACAAGCAGTTGGTTCTCATTCCACACACATATGCAACTGCTTTATAATTCTAATCATTTGCATGTCTTGCATCACTGCACATTTCCTGTAAGTTTGGTTCAAGTTGCATAATTCCTTCATGGTGTTGCAATTTTCACAAACATAGTGTGATCATGTATTTTAAATGTATAGTTCATATAAAACTTCTTCTTAAGTAGTTTTTTAATTAAAAATTGCTTTGCAAGATTTTTTTTTTCTTTTTTTGGGGGTGTTAATGTTTAATTTTTACTGAAAAGCATTAAAAATTTTAGGGAGGCTATCATGTATTACATATTAATTATAATGGTATAATTACATATAAAAATTTTTGTAGAGAAAATTGTTTGACAATTTGAAAGTTGTAAAATTAAAGGTATTAGGTTAAATATTATTTTAAAAAATTGCCACTTTTTGTGCTTTGTAATAAGATATTAAGTACATTAATTGAAATTTTGTAGTTAGTGTTGTGTACTAAGTGATATTATTTAAATATTATGAAATCTGGTTTTCATTACCATATGAAATAGCTTCAAAACTTTTCAGTTAATCTCTTTACATTCAAGCTTCTGAATTGATCTTCTTTTTCTTAATTCAGGTTCCAGGATTTGAAAGAGCAAATAACTACACAAACTAAAGTGCCAGTTGTGAACCAGTTATTGTTATTTGATAAATCTTTGTTAGAAACCCAGATTGATTTATCAGCTCAAGTTTCATCATTTCCTGCTACTGCATATACACAACCAATTATACTGGTCCATTTAGAAAAAACAGATGTAAAGGATTTACCCCGACTCAATTCGTCATCAACATGCTTTCCTATGTTTCCTAATTCTTCTGTGAGTCCAGATCATGATGCAGCATTAGCAAAAACATGTTGCAGTGTGGCTCATGCAGTTAAGCGCTCAGTTGTCAAGTTAGTAAGATGTAGAGAATTGTTGTTGAAGACACCTTTAATTCTTTTGTAAGTATATTTTATTAGAGTTGGAGTCATTTTTATTTTTTCAGCCTATTCAAACATTGGCTGTGCTGCTTTATATGTGTGTGTATATGTTTATAATTTTTTAATAATATGGCCAAAAACAGCTTTTAAAATGAATGAGGTTAAGACACTTTTATTCAGCCTATGTTGCTTCTTCCTTACCTTTATTACAGTTATCTGTTTTCCCTGTAAATTGATAAATAACTGATTGTACAAAAAGTTATACTTTTGAAGGTAATTCTGTTGCCCCCCTCGAGTATTGCTTTCTTGTTAAAATTTTTGTCATGGTTTTCATTCCCTGCTTTAAATTACTTGTTAATAATACAAAGAGTATTTTATGCTTCATGTTATGAATTTTATTATCGGCAATGGTTGATGATAGGTATGCATAGATTTTGTTTAACTTATCTTAGAAACTATGAGTAAATTTGATTTCTAATTTTTGACAACATATGTTTAAATTCCTATAATTCATTTCCCAACAGATCTCTAGCAAATGATAGCGTGGTAAAATTGTGTTCTAGTTCTGATGTGCTGAAGCAGAAATCTGAAGATGTGTATTACAGATGTGATCAACTGGAAAAAATGTAAGTTCTTATGCACCTACTTACAAAAACAAAAATGTATTTTGAAAATTTCAAATATGGTAATTATAAATTGTAAATAAATTATAGAAAATAAATAAATAATAATGAATTTTTTCTGCATACAGTCAAAAGTCGTTAATCCGGACTCGTCGAGACTTCGGCGATTCGGATTATAGATCATCAGTTTTAAATCTCGTAAGATGGCATGCAGAAATTCTAAAATTAAAAATATGAAACCGTTTAATTTATGAAATAAAGAACAATTATGATCTAAAGAGGTATCAAAATTTACAAAAAAAAAAAAAAAAAGGGCTTAATATTTATTGTTTACTTTATTAAACATTTCTTTCAACGTAAGTTTGTTTAAGTTTGCTTCGTTTTATGTGATAATACTTTCTCTTTAATTCTATAAACAGACATAATTTCTTGTTCAGTTACAAAGTTTCCGCTGTTCAAGTCCCGTTAATTGCTGTGCGGAGAATACCGACTAACTTGTCAATCGAAATTTTTTCGTTTTCACTAACCTCTCTGTCACATTCTTCATGTCTTTATCCATTTTTGCAGCAATTCCACTTTTTGTTTGATGGACATCGAAACATTTACTTTCGTTTTGTATGATCCTTTGGGAGTCCAGAAGCGGAGGAAATTTCTATTTGACATAATCGAAAGTTCAAGTTTACTTTTATTGTATTGCTCTTACAGGCTGCAAAAAATAATAATCCGGATCCAATTCGTAAATTAAGGAACAACGCAATCATCAATATTAACTGAAATAGATAATTAGATAATTTTAGCTTATACCGTCCGTTATACATAAAACGCTCACGCGAAAACGTATTCTGCACTTGCGCACACGCATATGCGCAGACATAAAAGGTCTTACGCGCACGCGTAAACGCCTCTGCGCATGTGTCAACACGGCGCATGCGCAGAAAGTTTTTAGCTTTGAGGTCCGGATTATAGATCATTCCGGATTATGGGTGTCCGAATTAACGACTTTTGACTGTACTTTGATTTGTTACTTGTGACTAGTATTGAAGGAAGCTTAAGTGCTTTGGGAATAAATGAGCTTAAAGTACCAAATTCAAGTTGTAACTCAAAGAATTTTAAGCAGTTATACCCCTCCCAAACATAGTCACAAATGTTAACTTCACACATTTATTTGATAGCAGGTTATTATTGTGTACATTTGTAAGCATTTTCATATTTCAATACAAAAACCATTTTTAATTTATTGCCAATTTAATTTGATAGTAAAACAAATGTATTATTAAAAAAATAAATTCACTTCAGGACGTCTCTTGCTTGGCTTCAGTAGCTATTTGTATTGACTAATACTAAATTACAGAAGCATTACTGCATTAAAATATAAAATTATATACTTTAATGCAATTTAAAAGCAATATTTGAAATATATAGGTACCTGATTTGTGTATACTTGATTTGTGTGCGTATATTTATATATATATGTAAGATAAAAAAATGCAAATCAAAATTATAATTTAAAATGCCTCTTAATTGCTCATTTTTAATTTTGGGTGCTTTGTCTCTAGTAATAACTTTCTCTAAACTGTGTCATATCTGAAAACGTATTTCGCATTATGTCATCTTGGAACTTGTGCATTGCCTATGTACTATGATTTTAAACTAATGAGTGGACTGTATGGCAAAAGAACTAATTTATTGACGGTAATTAACTACATTCAGACCTAATACATGCTCTGGCATATTGCTTAGCCGAATCCAGATGGCCAAGTGAGAGTTTCTCTTCTTATCCAGTAGGTGGCGCTGTATTCTAACTTAACAGCCTATAGGTTTTAGCCAACCAGATTAACGAAAAATTTTACTATAAATATTGTTGCAATCCTACCCCACCCTCTTTCTTTGCCTCTGCTTGCTTAATAAAGGACGTCTCTTGCTTGGCTGCTTTTGTTAAAAATGTAATGCGCCATCATTAAAATTGTGGAGTACAGATTGCTGCCCATTGTGAAGTGCCACAAGTAATAAAGGTATATTTGGAATATCAAGTAATTTTTGTGATTCTTCAAAAGTTCCTGACTGCCAAACTAAATTTTATCATCACATATATATACAGGGTGCATAGGAAAGCGACTATGCCTGACCTAATGCAAACAACATCAGTGCCCCTAGTGGGGAAATTTAGAAGATAGGCATTGCAAATCGAAAATGAAAAGAGATAGAGAAAAATTCCAATTAGAAAGTTTAAGAGCATCAGTTAATTAGTATGAAATGACATTTAGTTCACATGGATGAGATAAATTGTTGCCTGTATACCCAAAGATGTTCACAATCGATGCACTCCATTTTGTATAAATGTTTGAAAGGAATAGCCATGGGTATTAAGAAATATGCACCTTTTTATTGCATAAACTATGTACTTATGTTAATACAGTTTGATAACATCACCCTCTGCCCCCCCCTAAAAAAACACAAAAGCAAACTGTTACACAGTGGATAGCACGTTAATGTTATCGTCTGCCATCAAGATTATAATGAGGTTTGAGATTATGCAGTTTGCATGAAGCCATAACCAACATCTTTTAAACTAAAATTTTAAATGGATTGGAAATTTAGTTGTAGAGACGTTACAGTACAGTACGACATCACACATCGGCAATTGTGCACTGCGACGTTACAATGTGAATATGCAGAGTAGAATCGTCCCACATCATTTGCGAACATTTTTGGGTATACAGGCGACAATTTATCTTATCCATGTGAACCATATGTTATTTTGTACTAATTAATGTATGATCTAAAACTTTCTAATTGGAAATTTTGCTTCATCTCTTTTCATTTCTGATTTCCAATGCCTATCTGCCAAATTTTTCCACTAGGGGGACTGCTATCATTTGCATTAGGTTGTGCGTAGTCGCTTTAACATATACTAGATAATATATATATAACATATATATATATATAACTATATATGTTATGTGTGTGTATAATATAATATATAATATATATATATATTTTTATACACGCACCATGAGAATAGTCTTGTTCAAATATTAACTTATTCTTTATTATGGTTTGCATAATTTATCAGTTTTCTCATCTGAGTTTTTTTTGCTAATAAATTTTTAAATAAATTAAATGTTTACATCTCATTTAACTTACTGAAATTAAAATGAATAAATAATTCATTTTATTCTTTATTCAGTAGTTGTTCCTCTAAGTTTATATATTTGTTTTAATATTTAGATTACTAATTTTTGCTTTGTTAATTTACTGAATTTATGTAATAACTCAAATGAGAAAGATTTAGATGTGAAATTAAGTGAATAATTTGAGGTGTTTCTAAAAAATGCATATCTGAAACAAAAGGATAAAAGGAACATTCAAAAGATTCATTTCAGATTGTAAAGTATTAAAAAAAAAATGGCAAGAAAGTAAGCATTAGAATTTATTTCTCATTGAAAAGAGTATTCTATTTGGAAATATCCTTTCATTAAATTTTGTTGTTAAATCTGTGAGTTGTTCTAAAAGTCACAGACTTTTTTCCCTAAAAGACTAAAAGTCCTTTAGGGGGAAAAGTCTATAATTATCTTCATGATTTTAATTTGTTATTTACATGAACTTTTATTTTTTGTAATAATTGTTGGTTAGTATTACATGAAATATCACTTGCTGTTTTTAGCATAATATCACATATGCTGAATAGATAAAGAGAATGGAATCTCCTTCTGTAGTTAAACCCTGACCTGAAATATTTGGCAAATTCCACTTGATGTAAATACACTGATTACCAATAAGTATTTGGACACCTGTGATAGAAAAGAAAAACTAACTTTATTCAAAATCTATAGCTAGTAGAGCCTCCACGAGAGGTAATTACAGCGTGGACCCTCCGGGGCATAATTTCCACAAGTCTTTGTATGACAGCTAGTAGTATTTTCTTCCACTCGACTTGGGGAAGACATAGAAATTCCTTCACCGATTTTGCACGGGTAGTGCACCCCTGAATTCGGCGATGCAACTCGTCCCAGAGGTTCTCGATAGGGTTCTTGTCTGGACTCTGGGCAGGCCAGTCCATTCGATGAACTCCATTCGCACCATACCAAGCCTTGGTTAACGTCGAAACATAACAACTGGCATTGTCGTCCTGAAAGTAACAGGGGTCCAACCCGTAAAACTGCCGCAACGTAGGAAGCCATCCAAAACAGTCATCCAAAATAGTGCAGTATTGTCATCCAAAATATTGTCATCCAAAATATTGTCATCCAAAATAGTGCAGTATTCCAAAAATTATATATTATATATATATTATATATAACAATATCCAAAAATTGTCATCCAAAATAGTGCAGTAGGCATCGGAGGTGAGCTTACTATGAATGGGGACCAAGGGTTCCAGCCTATACCAGGAAAAACACCCCCAGATCATAATTTCACCTCCGCCAAACTTGACTGTTGGCACAATGTTTTCTGGCAGGAGACGTTCTCCAGGTAGATGCCAGACCCAGACCCTGACATCCGAACTGTAAAGGGTGAACCTTAATTCGTCACTCCAAAGAACCTGTTTCCACTGATGGACGGTCCAATTTCGATGTGCTTTACACCACATATAACCGAGCAGCACAGTTGAACTTTGGGATCAAAGGCTTATGGGCAGCAGCACGATCATGAAAACCAAGCAGATGTGCTTCCTTATGGATGGTATTCATTGAAACAATACTCCCGGATGTCTGTTGAAACTCCTCGCGGATGAGGGTCATTGGTTGGGTGCGGTTCTTCCGAATTTCTCTGGATAGCACTCGTCGGTCTCTATCTCTCAGTTTCGTTGGTCTGCCGACTTGGGGCACATTCTGACAATCACCGCTCACCTTCCACTTCTTAATCACATAGGCCACTGTCGATTTGGGTACTTCAGATCGCTAGATATGTCCCTTAAGGATCGGCCACATTTGTGATACCCGATAATTATACCTTTCTCGTAATCGGAAAGCTCCGAACTGCAAGACATTTTGCACGCAAAC